GAGAAGAGTGGTGATCGGAAAGTCGGTTGGGGTGGTGGAGGTGGGGTGGGATAATTATATTAAATTAGAATTAAATATTTAATAATAAATTGATTTAGTAATTCATTAATTATTAATTAAAAATTTAAAAAACCTGATTTGTGAATTTTCAAACTTGTTTTTGTATTTTTGAAAAGGTGTAAAGTAAATACCTTATAAATGTATTGTTCCCAATTTTTATTTCATGTAGAAAAGGCTTTCAAAGGAAATTATTTTAATTTTTATTTGGAAACTAATTTTTAAAAGAGTTTCTTATTTTGTAAGTATTTTTAGAGAAAGTCACAATTGACCAGTTTCATCTAAAAACTCTTTTAATTAGAATAAGTATTTTCATAAAATTAGCCAAACAAATCCAAATGAAACTTTTGAACCTCAAAACTCTTTTTGACTTTTCAAAACCCATGTCAGATGAGTCCTTATAACAGAAAAACAAGCATTTTTTTTTTTTTTTTTGTAAAATTTCATATACAAGAGATTAAGTATTACCGATTTCAAAACTAAGAAATAAGATTTTTTATTTCAAAAATAAGATATTAATTAAATTTTAATTGTGAAGTGATTAATTAAAATAATATTTTATTAATTAAATATATTAAAGTCACAATATTATATAATTTATAATCACGGTTATGTGTTAGTCACGATTACTGATATTACAGTTACAAATCACTAATTTTATAGGCAACAACTTATTTCTCATTCACAAATCTATCAAATTACTAAGTCACATATTATTCACTAGTCACAAATCACAAATTTATAAGTCACATATAATTAACTGGTCACAAAATAACAAATTAATTGGTCACAAATTATCAAATTATTGGTGACAACTTAAGAAATTTTTAGATTATACATTATTTAGCAATCACAAATTATCTGTTTAATTGGTCACACATTGACCAATTATTGGTTACAATCAACAAAATAATTTGTGACTACCATCTCATCACTACCTCCAACACTATAGTCGCTAACACCGTCGTCTCCAAAGCCACTATAGCACCACCACCATGTCCACCATCTCAAACAAACTAATACCCACCAACACCACCATCGCTAACACTATCACCACCGCACGATCACCATCACATCACCAACATTTGCAAAACACAAATCAACGATGATCTTGGTGCGTCTTACTCTTTTTCTGCTTTCGCCAGACGAATCTCGAAGTCGCAGCGACGATCTGAAAGCACTGGTGGTGCGGGGCACATGTTCTCTGCACAACACATCTTCATGTGAGTCACCGCTGGGTGCACTACCTTTTCGTGTGGCTGCTGCACCACACTAGAATAATTGGTTCTACGTTCATCGAGTGGGGCGCCGCTCGATGCACCACCATTCCGTGCGATCGCGACGTATTGTATCGCGTAGCGCCACTACAAGGCGTCAGTTGGAATAGAGAAGGATAGGTAGGGAGATGGATAAAGATAGAAGATATAGATAGATAGAAAGCAGGGATGGCAACGAAACGGGGAAATTCCTCGCCCCGTCCTCGTCCCCGCCCCTGCCCCGTTACCCGTTTAAGGGGGCGGGGCCTTTCCCATTAAATTTTTTTTTTTAAAGTTTTTGATAATTTATTTTTATTGTCCATATTTATTAGATTTAGACAAATAATTTTAGTTGCTATTTTCTATTAGAACTAATGCAAATTTTCATTTAAAGTATTGAATTTAAAAAAAAATAAATTAATTTTTTTTTTAACGAGGCGGGGCGGGGCCCCCGTTACCCGTTCCCGCCCCGTTACCCGTTTAAGCGGGTTATCCCCGCCCTGTTCGGGGCGGGGCCCCACGGATATCGGGTTTATCGAGTTTTTTGCCATCCCTAAAGAAAGGAGAGATAATTAATATTTTGTTGTTTGGGAGCTGGAATTAGTGTGTGGATGAGTGCTTAATTTTATTTTTATAAAAATTGAAAAAAAACTTGTAAATTTTAATTTTGAATTTGTAAGTTTAAAATTCTGGTTGCTCGTAATTTTCACATTTAGCCCCTGTTTGACACCCATTTTTTTATCTCATTCTCATTTTTCTACAGTACTCATTTCTAAGCACACATTCTCCAAATAAAATAATATTACACATAAATCCAAAAATTTTTCTTACTTTTTAACCACACATTCTTTATATCAATTACTATTCAAAAACTCATTTTCAAAAGAATGGGTGCCAAACACCCACTTCTTTTTTCACATGGGTGTAGTTTCAATTGGGTTGGGTCGTTGGGTCTATTTCACCAAATTACTTTTTATCCACTAAAACACGAAATAACAAAATTACCCTCGAGAGATTATAGACAATGCTGTCAAACACCAGTTGAAAACTATACAACCCTAGTCTCTCTCTCTCTCTCTCTCTCAGTCCCTCTCCTTGTATCCTTACTGCTCACTCGGTTGCACTCGTTCCCGCCGCCGTTCCGCCGCCGTTTTGCAACTCGCTCCTCCAATACGTCGTGGTTTCAAAAATTTGTTCATAGCAAATCACCTCCACCTCCGCTGGTACTTTCACCCGTCTGAAAACCCTGAGATTCCAGTTTATCGCTCAGTGGAACTGACTTTAATTAAATAATTCTATACGAATAAGGAAGTGTAAATTCCTCATTTTTGCGTAAAATGGGGATTGGGAAAAATGAGAGTAGCGGTGGTGATCAGCAGAATATTCAGAATGAGGTAATAACTGGTGGACCTCCCAAGTCACCCTGGAAGACTTCAGCGGGAATGACTGATGGTGCTTCCTCTCCAGTGATGGCGCCTGATTCGGAGTCTTGGCCTGCACTGTCCGATGCGCAGCAGCGGTTCAAGAACAATGTTAATGCGGATTCCAACTCCACCAAGTCGGTGTCGCCGCAGCCTCAGCTAGAAGCCAGCGGTGGTGGTGCTCCTCCACCTTCTGCTTCGGTCGGTGCGAGCTTTTTGTTTAGTTTCTTTCCTTTTTAGTTATATATGCTAATAATAATGAATGCAGCTACAATTAGCTTATAGTACGTGTTAAAAATATTGATTGTTATGTTAACTGCATTTATGAATCAAACAGCTATTAATCTTGATATGAAATATGAGAAAAAAAGAATGTTTTGGAATCACCTTCCAGAATCACTGATGTAAAAGTTTGAATTCTGCGACCAAAGGTTGGACAGATGTCAATATATTAACGAGAGAGAAATAAATTGAATCTAATTATATGATGTAGAAGTTTCGCTTTTATAATTTATGTTCCTTTTTACTTGAAGAATGAATGAAGTTATCGTGTTAGAATAATTGCACATTTAGATAATGTAGTTAAGAAACTAAGAACTTGTTTCAATCATGCTACTTGTACAATTTTTTTTTAAAATCATGGTTGACAACTCGCACTTGGCAACATTACATTCGTCCATTTCAAAAAATGTTTTTTAAATCAGAGGTCCAGATTTTGACAATTGTCAACAACAATTGTATTAATAGGTTAAACCTTTTTAAAATGTGTTTTCTGTATTATGTGGCACATGGGGCAATTCGTTTCTGACATTGTATTGGATACTATTTTGGTTCTTTATAAAAATATAAAAAATATCAGACATCTTTTCAAGATTGAGCACTCACGTTCTTTAGTAAATGTTTTTGGAAATGTGGTCAAGAATCAAATTCTATATTTCCTGACTGTGTGAATCCATATAGTTGGAAAAGACAGACAAGACATGGAATGAAAATACTTCTAAACAGGCTGCATAAAAACGACAGCGTGAAGTGGAATTAATAGTATCTTCGAAATTTATTGATGTTCAAATGGATCTAAGGCCAGAACTGAAAAATTAATAAGCCAGCTGAGAAACGATATCTTTACGAGTTATCATGGTACAACAGAACTGTGGAGCATAATTACTGGTTTTAGTTGTACGTTTTTGGTTTCCATATGAAATTTATTTCTTGATTCATGTGTCTTGTAGACATTATTATGAGCCAGTCTTTTGCCTTGGCCTAATTCCTCCTTGAACTGAAACTGCTTGCTTTGCCCAATTATCCTATACCATTAGTATAGGCAAGACGAGCCACTTTCACATGAGAGGCAACCTTTGTTGATTGCTCCATAATTTTTGCCCCTAAGCATGTACATTGACTCTTTGATAATCAGAAATTCAGCACCTGACCTGACAGTTTTTTCTGGTCTTCCAGGCTACAATTGAGCAGCAGAAGTTGCATGGACGTGGTAGTTTTAAGTCACCTCGTAGGCCCACAAACATGCATAATCACAGAACAGGTCCCAAGCACAGCCCAAATGGTGTGCGTCCATTTCCTGTACCCTTACCGTATCATCAGTCAACACCAGTTTTTCATACTATGGTTCCGATGCCACACATGTCTATCCCTGGATATGCATATCAGTTTCACCCTGGACCATTTGGGAGACCTGAAACTCAATCGGTAAAATCCAATAGCAACACTCTAGTACAAGGCTTTACTCCTCTAGTAAATGGGGGCTTCAAGTCTTCATCACGCTCTGATTCCAGGGACCATGATGCCGAGACTGGTGGAAGAAGACCTAGTGCACAAGAGCAAGGTGGCCAGTTGAATCCTTGGCATAATCAGCGACCAATTGTTTCTGATAACAACTTTCATTTTCAACAAACCATGGGGCCTAGGCCTTTCCTAAAGCCTCCATTTGTTGATCAAGCAGGCTTCATTGATGGACCAAACTTCCCAGGTAATTACATATCTCAATATGAAGCCACCTTGATAAATGATAAATAATAATTTTTGTGTTAAGATTCCGCATTTTGTGATTATCTTTCCATCTGCTTTACCTTTTCCTTTCCTTTTCCCTCCTGTTCCGCTTCAAGCAGTTGCTTATTTACATTTTCTAACAAGGTGGTTGTCTATGGTATAGGTCCTCCAGGAGCTCTATATTATTTCCCTGCTGCTCCTCCAGGCCCTGTCAGAGTACCTTATCCACCATTTGTTGTTCAGTATCCTTTCAACCCTGGAGTCCTCATGCCACCCTCACCAATGTTAGCCTTGAAAGCTAACATCATAAAGCAAATTGAATATTATTTCAGGTGAAATGCTTGAGAAGATCTCACTACTAGCAATATCTTGGCCTTTTTTTTTTTGGGTGAAAATCGGCGTCAGGCTAAATTATTTTCCTAAAAAAGTTTCATCTTAGGATTGTCGTGTCAACAATGAATTATTATGTTAATCTATTGATTGGATATATATATATTTTTATCTCTTGGAGTCTAGTCAAATTATTTTCGCATAAATGGGATGTTATTTGGTTAGACTGATAATTTACAATGATGGGTTGTACTTATGTCCCTTGGATGTGGTGATTTTTTTTGGTACTGTCGATTGGTAATAATTGAAATTAATAAAGCTACATTATATTTAAATAACAGACTAATATTTGAGTTTTGAATTTTATTACTTTGGCAGTGACGAGAATTTGCAGAATGATCACTACTTGATTTCCTTGATGGATGACCAAGGTTGGGTTCCGATTTCAATTATTGCTGACTTTAAAAGGGTAAGTTGTGATGGATTCTCTTTATTGTTTAATACATACTATATTAAGAAGTTCATTTTCCTTTATTGGGAAATCATATTTTGTATTTGGGATCAGGATCAACTGAGGTTTACCATTTATTGTATTTGTGGGTTAAGGGGGTGGGTGGGTGCGGAGGCAATGGTATTTAGGTTTCCTCTGAATACTTTCCCCAAGCCTGCGAGCTTGATTTTGCTCCTCAAAATTCTATCATTTTACTATTTTAGTATGTGCAATTATGCTACTGTGCTTCCTTTTTTCAGGTTAAAAGTATGACCACAGATGTAGCATTTATTCTGGATGCGTTGCATGCTTCGAGTACTGTTGAAGTGCAGGTTAGATAATGTTCCTCTCTTTAATATCCCCCACGTGGGTTTCTACTTTTCCTCTATTATGGCATCAGAGTTCTCATTTCAGATTTCATGTTATTTAATCCTTTATTTTATTTATTGAATGATTCCCCTTCATCTGCACTGAACCTTATTTCCACAGGGTGAGAGGCTGAGGAGACGCGATGAGTGGTCAAAGTGGATTCCATCTGTTACTGATAAATCTTCTTCTCTAGTTCCAAATGCTATGAATAATGATGAGCTCAATGATAATAAAAAGGACAGCTCTGAAAGAACCAATGAATTTTCTTCTCCAACAGGAAGTTCTGTGGATCACCTACCATCAGGTGAAGATTCTAAAAACAAGTTGGTGAATGATACGGATCAAAACAAAGATAAGGTTCTGTTTAGTGGTAAAACCCAAGAATCTGCTTTAGGAGATTGTAATTCATGTGTGGGAAAGGATTTCGAGTCAAATAATAAACATAATGGCCTTGACCTTAACAAAAGTTCGAGTTTCCCAGCCACTTCACAAGGAGCTGATTCTGTGAAGTCGAACATTACTGGAGGCTCTGAAAATAGAAAGAAACAATTGCATTCAAATCTTGCTGTGCAGAATCTGGATGACTTATCTAATGATTTTTCAAACACATTCATGCTTGATGAAGAACTGGAATTGGAGCAGAAAACGAAGGATCATCCTTCTACTGGAGAAAGGTATTCCATACTTGATATATGTTTATCTGCAATCCTTGTGCACTTCTGTTCTTCTGTCTGTCGCGAAAGCTTTATTCTCATATTAATCTTTTTTTACCTTTGTTAATGCGGTCCAGGCCTTAAAAGGATAAACTCTGAGTTTTGGTCCCCTCTTTTCAAATAGAAAAAAAGGCCATCACATTATTTATTTACATGTAACTTGAAGAATGCTTGTGCCTCTACATTGCATCATATTCTTCAACAAAATTATTGCTGATTATTGGCTTATTAATAGCGTTGTTTGGACCAAGTGGATTGTATTTCAAAATAAGGTCCTGAATCTCCCTGAAGCTGTCTTGGTAATTTTGTTTTTTGATGGATTTTAATTATGGGTGAAGTTGCATATTTTAGGCGCCTAATCCAATACCAGTGTTAAGAAGCAGCAAACTCAATAAATTTTCAACTGGTTTCATTCTGGACTAATTTTTGCGGTAGGAGAATCATGGTTACATGTCTGCGATGCTTTTTCTCATCATCATCTACTACTACCTACAGAAGAATACCATGTTATTTCAAACAGTATGTTTAGATTTACTTCAATCAGGGAAAAAATAGATTTTTTTCTGTTTAAATCGTTGTTGAGATTTCAATCAGAGTTTCAAAATGCAACATCAGAATATTGACTATGGGTTTTGATATTTTAACTTTTTTCTTTAGGTAAAAGACATGAGATTTTTGTATAAGGCTGCTTATTTTTTATTTTATTTTTTTGAGTGGGGGTACCAATAATTGAACCTTGGACCTTTGTGGAAACAACAATTCCTAACCAGCTAGAACAAGGAGAATTGGTTTGTAAAAGGCTGCTTTGAGGTTCCTTTCAGATGAAAAATAAAAACTTGTTATTATTTTGTATCTGCCTTAGCCTTTTTTAACCATAGTTTCCTCTACATTAGCTCGACAACCATTTAACAAGATTTCCACCAATTAGCAATATACTTCTTTTTATGCAATCAGCTCTGAAAAGCTTATATACCTTGTGATTAAATTAGACCAATTTTATTTTGAAATGAGTCATTTTTCGCATCCCTAGAGCAACAATATTGCTTTGGACTGTGATGCTTTAGTTTCTGGTGCATGAATTGGCTCGTAGGAAGGTGAATAATGTATTTTTATAAGACGCATCGTGTCCAATCTGTAACCTGATGGTTGAGCTAACTGGTGTGCCATCAATAACGTTAGGCATTAAAAATGGTTATTTCTTTTTATATATGGCCGGGAGACTATCATTTTTAGCTGAAGACTTCTTCACAGCAGATGACTGGATTCTGTTGAAAGTAAAGGGAATGAAAACAAAAATGATGCACAAAATCTTAAATTGAAAATTATGAATTTGAGGTTGTATGCTTGGTATACTATGATTCTCTTTTTGTCAATCTATGATTGAATTTTTCTACTAATGGTGAGTATAATTTTGGAGAACCTCTTCAACTATAGCAAATGATGTACTTATTACTCAGTAGATGGGGAGACTATCATTTTTAGCTGAAGTCTTCTTGACAGCAGATGATCGGATTCTGTTGAGAGTAAAGGGAACAAAAAAAAAAGCGATGCACAAAACCTTGAATTGTAAATTATGAATTTGTGGTTGTATGCTGGGTATACTATCAGATTCTCCTTCCGTCAATCTATAATTGGATTTTTCAACAAATGTTGAGTACAATTTTGGAGAACCTCTTCAACTGTAAATGATGAACTTATTACTAATAGATGTTACAGAAGTGTCATACTGTCATTTCCATTTCATTGGGCTCTCTGTTCAAATTTTCCTTATCTTGGACCATTTCAAGTTATTTCCTTGAGAGGTCACTTTTTGGTGATTTCTCTCCTTGTGCATAGAAAAGCTTCGATACTCCATTTTTATGTAATAAGATTGCTCCAATTCTTGAGTAAATACAATTGCTAACTTTAAAAACTTTAATTTTCTGACACAATTTTAGTATTACTCAATGCATAAGTTGCAGCTCATATATTGTGCTCTAAGTTTTTGCCTTTCGTTGCCTGTAATCTTCTATTACGTTCTCACGGTCGTCTAACTTATCTTCTTCAAAACTTTGTGCCATTACTCCAAAAGAGTCGACGATGAAGATGATGAGATCGTCGTTAGTGATCAAGCTGTGGAGAGGCTAGTAATTGTTACCCAGGCAAGTCCATGAGCTGCATTGACACCAGTATTCTGTGATCTTTCGTTGTACGGAGTGGCTTTAGCTATTCTCAGATAATGCTCTATTATGTTTATTATTATGATGTTATTATGCTGTTTTCTGTTAATTGTAATTTCCATTCAACATAAGTGATAAGATTGTAGCAATGATGATCAAGATTCACTCGAATGTTAGAAGGTATAAAAAAATGAGTTCTGACTTTTTTGCCAGTACAGGACCGAACATTTATGCCTGGTGTATGCTTAATTTTCTTTTACTGCCCACCCCATTTTTTTGGAGGGTGCCGATGCTGAGTAGTATTTTCAAATTGCTATAACTGTCTTTATTTGTTGATGAAGTCAAATGTTCAAGGAGCATAATTTTGATATTCTCTGTTAATTTTTTACACTTGATCTTTTCAAGTGAATATGTAAGAACACACATTATATAAGGATAATTTAGAGCTTGTGTCCCCTATTCTTTCAAATTCCTAGGCAAGACTACTGCCAAACATCCAGAAAGCTTCAAAAGTCACTTGTTTAGTAGTAATTCTTATTTGCGGAATTGGACAAGGGCATTGTAGAGTATTAGCCTTCGATTAAACCTGGAAGGGCACAAAAATAGACATGAGGGAACTGTAGATTTCGAGATAGCTTGGACTGTGAATTTTTGTGATGTCTAGCAATTATTAATAGCGAATTAATTTTCTCAATTTCTAAAACATAAGAAATCCTGGACATAGATTCCCATATGCTAGACATTTCTGAGTCTTTTTACTCCAATATTATCAGTGACATTTAAAATGAAAAATCTAAATATAACACTCTAAATTGAAATTCCATGTTCTCTTTTTTCATATGGCACATTCACAGCAAAATTACATTGTCGTGCCAGGCATATGTGATACCTGACAATTTGATTCTGTTTTGATTTAGGTCATGACCATCTTTCTCATTGAACTTGTATTTGTCAGCCTACTGTGTCCAAATTGTTGTTCTTAATTCTTTCAAATTATCATAACTGATACTACTATTATTGATCTTGTTACCTATTGCATAAATAATTATTTTTTCACATAATTTCTGTGAAAGTAACCACTAATTAGAGTGCGTGTATAGTTTTTTTTTCCTATTCATTTCAGAACTTACACTGAATTTGAACAATTTGATGAAAGTTTTTTATTTTTGCTGAGAAAATTGAACAGAAGACACTCTTGCCAGATTGCTGGTTAGTGTTTTATGACTAACTAGGTATGTACTACAGAATAGTTGGACGAGTGAAGTACAAGGGGAAGAATCAAAAAGAATATCCAGTGAGCTTGCTTCTGCTATAAATGACGGTCTATACTTTTATGAGCAGGTTGACTTAGTTTTTTATTTTTACTAAATTTTTAGCTAAGTAAAAAGCAATTGTTTTTTATATTTTGCTTTTTGCAGGAGCTGAAGTCAAAACGATCTCATTGTAGAAGTTGTAAGCCCAATAATGAAAGCAGGGACGAGATTTCCAAATATTCCGTTGCAAATGCTGCCATATCAAATTCAAGGAATCCTGAACATTCTTCTAGTGGCCATGAGGAGCCTGGAAATTTGAATTCTCGAAGGAAGCAAAATAAAGTCAGTTCCAAGCAGCAATATATTCATAAGCAGCGACTATTCTCTGGAAACTTTAAAGGTCATGGAAGTGTCAGAAACTCTCTCGGCATGTCAACTGAAAGTCCACCTAGTGATTTAGTTGGTTTTTACTTTGGTTCTACTCCTCCAGATAGTCATGGGTAAGTTCAGGACACATTCATATGCTCTTATTGTTCATCATCTTGTATAATTTTATATTGCTTTAGTCAAAAATTAGTTTTCTGAATCAAACAATACATTTCTGTAAACTTTTTGCTTAAGGTCTATTGTCTGATTATAATTTTTAAATTTTCTAAAGTTCAACTCTCAATTTCCCAGGCTGAGGCCTTCAAAGTTGAGTGCTTCATCTCACAGCAATCTTTCTGGAAGTAGTCCGCCTGTTGGATCGATGCCAAAGCCATTTCCACCATTTCAGCATCCAAGTCATAAACTTCTACAGGAAAATGGTTTCAAACAGCAGCTGTAAGTACATATATGGTGCGGAAGCGTTATGTGAAATTCTTGTAATAAGAATTAAGTAATAAATAAAAATGATATTTGAACAATCATACCTTGTTTATATTGAATAATAATTGATTATTGTTGAAAATTGTACAATGCATTTGTATTTAATTTTGGTGCGGAAGCGTTGTGTGAAATTCTTGTAATAAGAATTATGTAATAAATAAGAATGATATTTGAATAATCATATCTTGTATATATTGAATAATAATTGATTGTTGTTGAAAAATATACAATGCATTTGTATTTATAGATAAAACTATTCCCTAATCCTATTAATATAAGGAAACTAAATTCTAAAATCAAATAAACTAAAATCCTAATCTAAAATAAATTATAAATCCTACTCTAATTCACGATTTCGAATTGAGGCAAAGGAGTTCGTTGTGTCTGTTACGGATTCAGAGTTTATTAAGCTATCAAAACGGGGATCGAAGATATCGGACGCAATTTGCATGGGTCGATATGGTGCCGTCTGGATGGTGAATATGATGGACAAGTTGAGGATGGCCGATAAGATGGAGGACTTCGTCGCCAAGTTTAATGAGTCTTCTCAAGCCTTCTTGGCACAACGTTGTGCTAACAAACGTGGTAGTTTTTTATGATAGCTCAGTACGGGGAGAGACGTCGAAAATGAGTTGTGATGGTGCCGGAAGGTGCGAATGGAGAAGGATGGGCATCGATTTCACGCGTGTTTCAAGCAGTTGTTGATTCACTCGTTTCCAGAGATAAGGTTTAACGTCAAATAGTTGATGACAAGAGGCGATCAGGGGTGACTTATGTCGATGTGACGGCGAACGTTTGGACACCGGAAAAGGCTGATCAGCGGGAATTTTGTGTAAAGAAAAGGCGGAGAATGAGGGGAATGACCCTAATGCAGAATTAAGGGCTCGCATTCAGGCGTTGAAAAGGGAATTGGATGACTTGACCAAGGTGGTGGAAAAAAGGTCTATATTGGGTACCATGAACACTTATTGTCATAGGTGTGGGATGGGTTTAGATGAGCTTCCAGGTGAATTTCAGACGCGAACTTTCTTTCGGTGATGGAAGTAAGGTCGAGACGGAGGAAACAGATAGGGATGTAAGGGATTCAGTGATCGAGGCGTCTAGAGAGATGGAACCTCGGGGCGAGGTAGGGGAGTCGGGTACTACGATTATGAACTCAGAGTTGTTGGAAGCGATCAATCATCCTACAAATGAGGGTGGGCTGGACGTGATTCCCTCTGTAAAGGGATCATTGTTGGATAGTGAGTACGAAAACGGAACTGTGGTGGGTGATAGCTCAGCTTTGGTTACTGAGAAACAGTAAGGGCAGATAGACTCAGCAACTAGGGTGGTGAATACCTATTGTAGGAGATTTTCAAAGTCTCCGAAGGAAGGGGATCCAAGGAATGATAATGCTTTGGTGGTGGGTTGGAGGAGCCGAGAAAGGGGATACATACGGTGATGTGGTTCGGGTGGAGGACAAGGAGGGATGCTAATTTGATCCCATTTATGTTGAGGGTATGGCGAAGATTAGAGGATCTGATGATAGACCTCGACCTTCAAGTTCGGTCTTTCAAAAAATTTGGGATTTCAGCAAGATGGTAGGTGTGTCATGTGATGGGCACAAAACTAGGCTTGTACAATTATTCGAGGATCTAGAGGTCAATAGGGGACATGGGCTGGGTACATCAGGAGGCAAGACAAGAAGAAAAGGTAATCGTGAACTTAAGCGTCTTGAATGCTCAGTTAATTATGATCTCAAGGGTGGAGAGTCAAGGAAAGGCCATATGGGGAGGGATGATGAGGTGTTTAGATGACTCAAAAAATATTTAGTTGGAATGTGAGGGGGCTTAATGAAGCTGGGAAAAGATTAGGCGTTCAGAATCTATTAAGGGGATGGAGGGCTGACATTGTATGCCTACAAGAAACAAAATTGGAGGTCGCTTCGAGAGCTGTTGTACGCAATCTATGGCTGGTCAGCATGTGGGGTATCAGTTTGCAAGGTCATCGGGGGCTTCAGGAGGAATGTTAGTAATGTGTATTATCTTTTGATTAATAAAATTTTCTGATTATCTATATAAAAAAAAGGAATGTTAGTAATGTAGGATACTAGAGTTTGTGATTTGGAGGAGGTTAGTGAAGAGTTATTTTGTCTATCGCTTTCGTTTAGAAATATTGGAGATAGCTTCCATTGGATGTTTACAGGAGTTTATGGGCCTAATGCTGATGAGAGTAGAGGTGGAGCCTCTCAACGTGTATTGGAGGACATTTTAATGTAGTTCGATTTCCCAATGAGAGGTCTAGTGGGGGAGATTAACTGGGGCTATGGAGGACTTTTCTGACTTTATTAGGGAGAACATATTAGTGGATTTGCCTTTGATTGGGGGAGACTTTACTTGATCATCTAACCGAGACCAATCTGTTCTATCCCGAATAGATCGATTTTTGGTGTGTGGGGAGTGGGAGCCTAAGTATCCAGAGGTCATGCAAAGGAGACTGGGGAGGTTGTATTCTGATCATTTCCCCATCTTACTATGTGGGAACGTAAGACGCAGTGGAAGAAGGCCTTTTATGTTTGAGAGGATGTGACTAAAAGTAGAAGGTTTTGAGGAACGAGTACGGAATTGGTGGGCATCCTATGACTTCAAGGGGTCTCCTAGTTATGTATTAGATCGTAAATTGAAGGCCTTGAAACAGGGTCTTAAGAGGTGGAGCGAAGAAATGGTGGGAGATGTCACTTTTCGCAAAAATCAATGCCTTTCAAATATAGAGGAATTGGATAGGTTGGAGGACAATCATGGATTGGAATGAGATGATAGAGCGAGACGTGGAGAATTAAGGGAAGAGTTGGAGAGGTTGGTGGAGATGGAGAAGATTGCTTGGCGTCAGAAGTCTAGGGTTAAGTGGTTGAAAGAGGGAGGCAGATGCACCCAATTTTTCCGTAAGGTAGCTAACTTTAATAGGCGCAACAATCTAATCACTATGTTGGAGGTTGATGGGGTCACTTATGAGGATCCACATGATTTCGGGACCTATATGGTAAGTTTTTATCAGTCCATGTATAGTGAGCAGTTGGGTCGGAGACCAGAATTGGAGGGGCTTGACTTCTCTACTATTGATGAGGAGGATGCTAGTTAGTTAGAAAGACCATTTAGGGAGGATGAAATTAAGGAGGTGGTGTTCAGCATGAATGACGTTAAGGCTCCAGGACCCGATGTATTCTTTTTCTCATTCTATAAGGGTTGCTGGGAGGAGGTGCGATCAGACATTGTAGATGTCATTACCTATATCTTTCAGTGAGGAAGATTCCTTCGAAGCGCAAATGCTACATTAATTGAGCTCATACCCAAGAAACCGGG